ACATGACCTGGCGATTGCTGCCTGGGAAGAGGGGTCTCCTTCTTGGACTAGGCAGCCGGTCTCTTCTGATGCCCCATAAAGTGTGGTGGTGATTAATGCCCTCTTGTGGGAGGTGCTCCCTGTGCCGCTGGCATTGGGAAGTCCTTGAGCACCTTTGCTGAGTACTAGCAGGCAATGATGTGTTATTAATGGTGGAGTCCCTCCTCCTCCCTGAGGTTGCCCAAAAGCTCTGCACAGTCTGTGGCACTTGGACACCCATTGCCTTCCCAGTGTTCACCAGTGCAGCTGGGCTGACTCCCTCAGGAGGTCCCAGTCCAGCCTCTGCCCAAGGCAGGATGGTTGCCAGCACTAGATTAAGGTAACCATGGCTTTGTGCAATGAAGACTTGAAAAATGTATATGATGGCAGTAGTAATTAAGGCTGAGAATTCTCCCTGTGGCCAAATTCAACACCTGGGAGGTGGGGAGGTGTCTGCTGGCAGGGTTATGGCTCAGAAATCAAGGAAGAGAGAATACTTCAGAGGTGAAAGAGAAAATGGAAACAGCACAGGTTAATCTGGAGATGTTTGGATGAAATGCACCATCAAGGGTTTGGGGAGCGAAATGCGCATACAGGATCTTGGTTTGTGCAATCCTACCAGGAAGGGGCAGAGTTAAGGTGAAGTAATGCAGCATGGCCACGTGCTTTAACTGCAAGATTCCAATGTTTCTGGTGTTTAGGTTGCTGAAGGAGATGTGAGTCTGTGTCCACCTGAGGTCTTTCCTTTGCTCTGGTCTCCCAGAGCAGGCAGTCAGCTGTATTTACTGGTTGGGGAACTCTTAGAAGAGATGACTGTGCCAGTGGTATGGCATCTCTGTTACTGTGTGTAGTGGAGGAGGTGAGATATAAAGAGACAGTTAAATATATCAGATCACCTAGTTGCCAAGGAGGTCACGTGTGGCAACATACTGAATATGGCCAGGTCAGAGCTGCTCTGCCTCTGGGGTTATTTGCAAAGACACTGCTTCAGTGGACCACCTTCTCTCTGTTTTTCCAAAGTCTTGAGTTTGAAGTATGTGGATATAGTGGTTTCAGCCACAGCTAAGACCATGTAGTCCTTTGCTTACCGCCTCACCCAGTGAGAAGGGGAGAGAAAGGGCTCATGGGTCGCAATGAGGACAGGGAGGGCTCACTCACCAGTTATGATCAAGGGCAAAACAAACTCAACTTGGGGAAGAAAAATCAATTTAATTCTTTCCCAATCAATTATAGTAGGATAGTGAGACATAACAACCACATCTTACAACACCTTCCCCCACCCCTCCCTTCTTCCCGGGCTCAAATCACTTTGCTCCCCATTTCTCTACCTTCCCCTCCAGCAGCACAGGGGACAGGGAATGGGGGTTCAGTCAGTTCACCTCTGCCGCTCTTCTCAGCATGGGATCCCTCCTGTGGGCTGTAAGAGTCCAGGAACAAAGTGTTCCAGCACAGGCTGCCCATGGAGTCACAGACCTCTTTGGGCACAGCTCCTGGCTCTGGCATGGGGACATCCATGGGCTGCAGATGGGTCTCTGGTTCAGTGCACCTCCTTCCCCCATTCTGGCATTGAGTGTCTCTGTGGTTTTCTTGCTCATCATGAGTTTTCCATGTAGTCACAACTGCCCTTGGGCACAGCATCCTGCTCTGGCATGGAGTCCTCCATGGCCTACACATGGGTATCTGCTCCACCATTGAACCTTCATTGCTGCAGGGGACTCCATTACAGGACATGGTTTAGTGGGCATGGTGGTGCTGTGTTGACGGTTGGACTTGATCTTGGAGGTCTTTTCCAACCTTAATGATTGTATGATTTACATCCCCCTGCTCTTCTGTGTGCTGATCTGGGTGTCTGAAGTTCTCTGTCTCCTCCCCTGCTCCTCCTTCCTCATGTCAATGATGACGATGGTCTTTTGTTCAGGCTCTCTGGTCTCCTGATGGCTTTCTCCTTTGCCAAACCAGTTCTTCCTCTCATAAATATGGATTTGAAGAGGCATTTCTTTATCGCTAGTTGGCTCAGCCTGGGCTTGAGGCCTTGGAGCCAGGGGAGCTTCTAACAGCTTCTCACAGGGGCCATCACTATAGCCCCTGCTCCTACTACCAAAAATGATCCCCTCACCCCAAACCCAACACAGTGGATTTGTTCTACTCCTGTAGACATTGCCATGAGCTCAGGCTGCTTGAATTACGAAGATGTGCAGAACATCCATTACCCAGGGGCAGGAATGATCCTCCCAGATGTTCCTGAAGGTGTACTCATCAGGAAGGAAAGAAATGGCCTTCTTGCATGACTTTTAGGAGATGTGCAAGGGAGATCCTGCAGACAGCCATCACCGGAGGCCAGGGCTGCAGGGAACCAGGGCTCATGTATTCACAGAGAAGCTTTTTCACTCCATGTGGTGCCTTTATACCTCTCTGAGACTCTTTATTTCTGGTTCTTTCTACAGCTCTGTGTTTTGCTGCTCCCCCCAAGGCAAGCATCAGATGGTGCACAATATCCGCAGCAGAAGAGAACAAATGCAATACTCTAAGGGACCTCATGCAACAGGAGAGCGTTGCATTGATTTGCCTGCAGAAAGCAACCTACCTGGACTGCATACAAGCCATTTCGGTGAGTGGGCAGCAAATAGCTGTGCTGGGCATTGAGGATGTTTCAGCAGCCCGGAGAAGGTCAGGGTATCCTTTGAGTCACTGGTTGTTACCTGTGATCCCCCTGTAGAGAAGGACTCACTCACAAGGATCCAGGAGAGACTCTGGGGAAGTGTTTTCCCTCATGCATCCCTGCTCTTTGTTTACTGACTGAAATCTTTTTGTTGTTTAGAATAATGAAGCAGATGCCATTAGCTTGGATGGTGGTCAAGTTTTTGAAGCAGGCCTTGCCCCCTACAAGCTGAAGCCCATTGTTGCTGAGGTCTACGAACACAGTGGAGGTACATTTTCATGCAATATTTTTAAGCCAAGTGGTGGTAAGAAACTGATAGTGCAAAGGCCATCCTTTCCACACAGAGCTCCCACATTATATCTGTTGGGTGTCCCAGATATTGCCCCCAGCTTCCAGATCCCAGAGGAGAAGGGGTGGGCGCAGTTACACCAAAATGTGAATCATCACCCATGGCCATAGAGTCACTGCAATGGAAAGGGGCAGAGCCAATGCCCCATTTCTACTTTAGCAGTGATGAAAGTCACTGATCCTGTGATGATGCAGTGGCGATGGAAAGAGAGCACCATGAACAGAAATCTTGGTCCTCCTGAAGCATGGCATAAAAATTATGCTGGTCTCAGAGATCTTCTGCTTTCAGTGACCTTGAACTATGTGGGTAAAACACTGAACTAGATAGCACAGATAACCTGTGTATCTTCCTGCGCAATAATCAAGACTAAAACAAGACTGAAGAGGCAACAGCATTGCCCTTAGTGGTTGTGGAGGAACACCTGGTTGAGATTATGGAGGCAAGAGGTGCAGGCAATGCACAGAAAAAAGACAAGAAGCATAAAATTCCATCTGTCTCTTAGGAGCTGAACAGACGCTATTTCTTCATTTTCGTCTTTCTTGCCTCATACAATTCCACCACATCCAAAGCTCCCAGTCTCTTTTGACCTTTGCTTTGAAGTTTGGCCTGTCTGTACACAATATTCAGGATCAAAGCAACATGTCAGAGTCATTCCCAACAGGGTAGCTAAGGAAATACAGATATTAAATGGAAAGCTGTGGTCTCTACCACCCCTAAAACTAAGTTGCTTTATTGATATGCAGCATGTGATGGAGTAGGTGTAATTTTAAAGACTAAATGTGGAATTTCATTCTTGTGAGGCTGACACGTATGCTACAGTGGGCAACGGCATTTGAGAAAAGATTTGCCAAAGAAGATTTGCCAAAAAGACTTGTTGAAGCATCTTTACAAAACCATGGGCATGTCTAACATCTGTCCAGTGGCAAAGCATTTTGCGTGTGACAGTATTTTCAGGTCACCTACCATTACAAGTTGTAATGGTAGGTGCGCAGCATTGGTTTGACATTGGCAGTGTAGCTCACCCATAAGAAAATGAGAAGACGACAAGTGTTCAGGCAAAGTTGCTAATTATTTGGAAGTGCAGCACTTTATTCTCTGAAATTGGGGGTTTGGCAGGATTTGAAATATTCCTAAGTCCTGCTTTTTCACTGTTTTCCTGCTTTTTCTTGCACTCCAGGCTCCACAACCAGCTACTATGCTGTGGCCGTTGCAAAGAAAGGAACAGGCTTCACGATAAATGACTTGCAGGGCAAGACCTCCTGCCACACTGGCCTGGGCAGGTCCGCTGGCTGGAACATCCCTATTGGGACACTCATCAACCGGAGACTCATCAAGTGGGATGGCAAAGACTCAGCCTCCATTGAGCAAGGTGAGGTGGGAAATGGTGAGATAATGGGCTGATGTTAAGCCAGGGATGGTGGGATGGTGAAAGCGATGCTGCCTGATCTTCTGCAGAGGTCCAGAGTTGCTTCGCAGAACAGTTGAATCACTGCCATTCTTTGTGCGTCCTCTCCCTTCCGGGTCCTTGTAAAAGTGAATTTTAGCCTAACTATTGCTTCTTTCTCATCCATAGCGGTGGCCAACTTTTTCTCTGCCAGCTGTGTGCCTGGTGCCACCATGGAACAAAAACTGTGCCGTCAGTGCAAGGGGGACTCCAAAACCAAATGCTCCCGCACAGGACCTTATTCTGGATATTCTGGAGCTTTTCAGTGAGTGAAAGTTATTTTTCCTATGGGGAAATATTCTAGCCCTGACACATGCAAGTTTTTGTTATACCAGGGAGGGCTGTGTTGTAAACAGGGGTCCTGAAGAGGCTGAATTTATAGAACAACTGGGAGTGCTGGGAATTAAAGATCCAGTTACTAACAACCATCAGGCCCAGTGGGAGATGAGAGAGGCAGCTGGGTTGTGTGGTTTTGCATAGACTTGTGAATACACAGCATTAGCACTGTGCCAAGTCTAACTGGGCTTCTTGAGCATTACTTCTCCATCATTACATTTTCTTCCCCGCCAGCATACCTTTTTTGGGGGGGGTGAAGATTGCTGCTCTATGGTTGCAGTTTGTGCCAAAGTAATTTGCTGAAACAGGAGATAGGGAGCCACAATGCCTGGTTTTTTAACCTCTCCTCTGTTCCTCTCACCTGCAGCTGTCTGAAAGATGGAAAAGGAGATGTGGCTTTTGTGAAACACACAACTGTTCAAGGTAGGTCTGTGAGATCACTTGTTTCTCTCCTTTCTAGTCCAACCCCTCTCACTGACACTCCATCTTGCAATTAGTTTACACTGTGCAGACTTTAATTCCTCTCCAGGTTTGCCCCAAACCTGTTCTCCTTTCATCTCTAGAAATGTGTTGCACACTGTGGACTGATTCATCCATGTTACTGAAAAATACGATTGTGGTGGGGTCCACCTTTTCTTCTTTGGGCTTCTTCTTGGAAGAAGGAAAATCTGCTTGATTTAAGTTCAATGGTGTTATTGTTGGTGCCGTATCTCAGAGACAGCTGTAACGCTATCACAGCAAACACAGGGTGAGCAATCATGTAGGTAATTATGCTCACCCATCATTCTGTGAGGGATTTTGGATGGAATTCAGCCCACAGCAAGAGTTCCCTAACTCTGTACCTCTCAAAGAAGGAAGACAGCCTGACATGTCCAGGACCTGTAGTGAGCTCAGTGAAGGGCCACCAAGATTGTCATGGGGAACAGACACTTGTCCTGTGAGGAGATGCTCAAGAGGGTGGGCTAGATCAGCCTGGAGAAGATATAGCTTTGGGGAACCTCAGAGCAGCCTGTCTGTGCCTGCAAGGAGGTTAGCAAGAAGGTGGAGCCAAGATCTTTATGGAGGTAGACAGTAGCAAGATGAGAGGCAATAATCATAAACTGAAACAAGAGAGGTCTGGACCAGATACAAGAAGAAATTTTTCTCCCCTTGAGGACAGTCAAGTAGTGGGACAGGTTGCCCAGGACAGCCGTGCATTCTCCATCCTTGGAGGTTTTAAAGATCCACCTGGAGCAACCTAGTCTGCCCCTGCTTTGCGCAGGGTCTTGGACCAGAGATCTTCAGAGGTCCCTTCCCCCCTGAATTCTGCTGTTACCCTGAGATCTCTGACCTGGGCTCTGCCTTGAGCCTTGACCCTACTGGCCTTTACAGACCATGTGCAGCTCCTGACCTGTTCAATCCATTTGTATGGTATTTGTAAATCTATTTGTATTTGCATCTACTTGTGCACGCCGGGATGTCCAGGCACTACAGCTACATAAATCTTCTTACTGTCGGGTTAGTTATGATAGAGGCGGAGATAATCTCTCTTTCACAGGCACATGCATTCTCCTTTCTACATTGCCTTCATAAGACCATGATGACCCCATTATAATTGCAAAGGGAGTGTGTGCAACCTCTCTTCTGCAAAGAATTCTCCCCCGAGCTTCTGCAGAAATAAATTCACTACAAAGCTTCCACAGACTGGTGTTTTTTTTGTCTATTTTCATAGTGATGCAACTCATGGTTCCTCTCTTCCTCCAGAAAATGCCCCAGATGAGAAGGGTCAATATGAGCTGCTGTGTCTGGATGGCACCCGTCAGCCCGTGGACAACTACAAAGCCTGTCACTGGGCCAGGGTGCCTGCTCATGCCGTTGTGGCTCGAGATGATAGCAAGGTTGATGACATCTGGAACTTCCTTTCAAAAGCACAGGTATTGTCAAGCTCTTCCTTCCTCCCCCTAGCATCCCCTCTTCTCTTCCCTGGCTTTGCTTGCTCTCTCCAGCTTTCCAAGCACTTTGGTAAGGTCATTTACTGATATTTTTCCCCCATGGCAGGAAAAATATGGCGTAGGTACAACCAGCAACTTCCATCTCTTTGGACCACCTGGCAAGAAGGACTCAGACTTGCTTTTCAAAGACTCAGCTATAGAGCTGAAGCGTATCCCATCACTGATGGATTCCCAGCTCTACCTGAGCTTTGAGTATTACAGTGCCATCCAGAGCCTTCAGAAAGGTAGGCAGGACATGAAATACTAATGTTGTGTCAATGCAAGCTGTAATTGAAGAATTGAGATTAGCAAATATGTCTAGGGAAAGGAACATGATTTTTCCAAGCACAGGCAATATTTTCTGCAAAATATTTCCTGTGAAAGGTATTACCATTAAAATCACACAATCTTCACAAACTTCACTTACATCAACAAAAGGAATTTGTTGATGCCAAAGTCAAAATAACATCATCACCACACCAACAAAGGTGGAAAATTTACACACATTCCACCCCTTGTCCTTTCACCATGACTGCAACAATAAAAATTGCCCACGGTTATACAGCTGGTGGTAGGGATCGGGCATCAAAACTGCTGCTTAGAAAAGCCATTTCTGAGATGTCAGATGAAGGAACATCCCAGGACATCAGGTCCAGTATTGTCCACTTGAGGGAAGCAGTGTCCTTTATTTCCATCTAGACTCATCAGGCATTCACTGATGTCCTTGCTGGCTTTCTGAGAGTCAAACATCCCACATATGACCCTCAAAATCCACTTAAAATGTACAGTTGCTCAGAGATCTCTGTGGTAGGCTCAGCCACTATGGCATTTATGGAAGGGGGTGAATGGACTTCATGTAGCATCAAAACAGATTATTCAAATGCCACTTCACAGAAACATAAGTAGGTTGTATTTTTCCAGCTTGGTCTGGTCTTGGTCTCATGGTTGTCTGGGCTGTGAGATCTGAAGAAATGTGGATTATATTATAGTCAGCAATACCAGTTACTGAGGTGCATTAGAAGGGTGGTTAGTAGGTTGAGAGAGGTTCTCCTCCCCCTGTACTCTGCCCTGGTGAGGCCACATCTGGAATATTGTGTCCAGTTCTGGGCCCCACAGTTCAGGAAGGACAGGGAACTGCTTGAGAGAGTCCAGCACAGAGCCACCAAGATGATTAAGGGAGTGAAGCATCTCCCTTATGAGGAAAGGCTGAGGGAGCTGGGGCTCTTTAGCTTGGAGAAGAGGAGACTGAGGGGAGACCTCATTAATGTTTACAAATATGTAAAGGGTGAATGCCACGAGGATGGAGCCAGGCTCTTCTCAGTGATGCCCAATGATAGGACAAGGGGCAACGGGTGTGAGCTGGAACACAGGAGGTTCTGCTTAAACTTGAGAAGAAACTTCTTTACAGTGAGGGTGACAGAGCACTGGAACAGGTTGCCCAGGGAGGTTGTGGAGTCTCCTTCTCTGGAGACATTCAAGACCTGCCTGGATGCCTTTCTATGTATATCTCATTTAGGTTCCTGCTCCAGCAGGGGGATTGGACTAGATGATCTTATGAGGTCCCTTCCAGTCCCTAACATTCTGTGTGTCTGTGTGTACTATTAATGCATGGTGTTTTAGTGGTTGTGATGTTTTAGCTAACATGATTCTGCAGGAATCCCTTGTGTTATGCAGAAATTCTCCTTTCTGATCCATAAGCTGATTTTTGAGCATCCTTCAGCTTAAGAATCATGTATTCTGTTCACGCCAGCCCAGGGCTTTTTAAACAAGAACCTCTTGCACTGGGCAGCAGCAGGTTGGTGTGTTACACATGGTTTCATGGCTGAGTTTCAATAAGGCCAAATACCGGGTTCT